CCCCCCCCTTCTTCCCACACACAAACAATTGTTGCGGTTCTCTTTTATCATTGAAGTTTTCTTCTTTCAATAAAGGAGGCAATTCATTTTGCAATTGTGTATCTAAACCCCCCCTGCTGCAGGCTTGAGAACCCTCTTATTTTCCCCTTTTTTCTTTTCTTGTTTATTTTATGGGAGAGGGTGGGAATTGGAATAAGGGGAGTGCTCTATTTACTGTTTCTTATCTGAGTGAGAAGGACTCTTGTATTAGTGTGCTTCTTCTCCTCTCTAGTCTGTTTTAGCTCTGTTTTTTAGCTAGAGACAACTGTTTATTTTTCAACCGTTACAGAAAACATATGCAAAAATGCATCTTTACTTTCAATACCCTTCTGCATTCTGCAATTTATGAAGCTCATCCGTACCTCTTCCTTGTGTAATGGTTGTGTATTTCCATCCTCCAATTTTCTTACCTGGGGATGGTTCGTTTTTCTATATTCATATGCATCTTCTGACCTCCGATGTTTCTTCTACTGTACTACAGGATTCTTATGGAGGCTACATGGTTGCATTTGCTGGTCGGAAATATGCTGCTAGGTCTTTGCCTGCTTTTGTTGCTAATAATACATTCACTGTAACAAGCTTTACTCTGGTAAGTGAAATTGCTGTCTACAAGATCTTGATGTTACATCGGTTGATTAGATATCTAATAACAAGAATATGGTGTTCTTGTTTGATATAGGTACTTGAATTCAAAAAGGGTAGGCTGGAAAATTTGTATTGGAAGAGAGATGGCTGCTCATCTTGCTCAGGCAACTCTAACTTTGTGTGCCTCAACGATCAGGATTGTGCTATCAGGACTAACTGCAAGAATCGAGGTGGCAATGTTGATTGTAGCCTTGGAATACAACTTACATTTTCTGGTACCGATAAGCATGAATCTGTTTTCAATTCATGGTTTGAAGTGAAGAATCTTCGTCAGTACTCTCTGTATGGCCTATATTCCAATCTCAGGAGTTCTCTCACAGATCAATACAACAAATTCTTCTGATTGTTTTTTAATGTTTGTATGTAGAGTTGTATTTTGTAATTTACTTGTTTGAAAGTGCCTTTTTTTTTTAACATCCCGAGTGTTTTCTGAATATCTTGATGGCTTTTGTAATTTGTTATATACTTGTATCCATTTGTCAACGGTTCTCTTCATATTTTGTCTAAAGTATGGTTGAGATGACCTGTTAACTTCTGTTTTTAGTGTTTGGTTAATTAATTATTTTTTCTTGTGCTCACAATAGTTATTGATCTTTGGTTTTTCCTGGTTAATTTCATAAGTTGTCCGATGGTTACTCTACCAACCAATATCTGGTGATCGAACTCATGACGTGACTTGTGGACTTGCATTTTGACTAATCTCGAGTAGCATGCCATTTTCCAGTAAGATGTTTTTTCTATGTAGTTCAAGAAACTGAATCAAACTATTAAACTCAAAAGAGTCTAGAACCTAATTGTGGTTCTTTTGGACACAAGTGACCGAAATATGTGTAAAAAAAAAGTCACATATCTATATAAAACGCTCTTTTAAAGAGCGCTATACTCTTTAAACGCTTTTAATAAACGCGATATACCTAGAAGCTGATAAGACAGGTATGTAAAGCGCTTTTTATAAAAGCGCTATATGTATAGGGCTTTTATAAACCGCGCTTTACATATATAAGTACTCGTCCCCTTCCCTTTCCCCCACGTTCTCGACAGAANCTCGTATAAATAATGCATATTAGTTGTTTTGAATATGTTCCATGTTATTTTGTGTTTTTTTTTTTGCGATTAAACTGGTATGTTATTTTTATCCGAACTTAGATATTAATGTTCTAAAAAATATGTAAAAATTGAGAAATCATTATTATTTGTTAATAAAAATGTTAATAAATTGCTTTTACTGTTTTATATGTATTTTCATGAATGTTTTGTGATTAAAATGTATTTGTTGTTTTTATCTAGTTTAGATTATTTATTTGTTTAAAGACTAGTAATATAATGCCCCTTTAGATGATCTGTTTAGGTTTCAGGCCACATGATGAGACAACACAGGCAGGAGCCAGTCGCCTGAGTTTGACGGCTATTCGACAGTATTTGGAGATATTGCACCCCAACATCAATGGCGAGATAGATGATCTGCATATTCACCGGTATACGAGGTTACTGCTACTCCTTATGTTTGGAGGGGTCTTGTTCCCGAACACTTCGGGGAACCTAGTCAGCTTGAGATTTCTTCATCTTCTTGAGCATCTAGATGATTTACCCCTGTATAGTTGGGGTGCTGCTGTTCTCGCCTACTTGTACAGGCAGATGTGTCGGGCGAGTATGGGCACCCAACATGATGTATGTGGATTTTTGCCGTTGCTACAGGTGACAACATATTCGAATACTCTATTCATTATAACATATCTAGTAAAAACATATCTTAAATTTTACGTCAACTTTGTATGTTAGGTTTGGGCTTGGGAGTGGTTCCTGCAGTTGTAGCCACCTCTACCACCATTACCTCCAGATGTACCACCCCCGTCTCTCCCTCTAGCTAGGAGGTGGGTTCTCCAGCGGGGATACGTACATACCTACGAGGCTCCACATAATCCCCCCCTTTGCATGGATTTGTTGAATATGAGGGAGGGCGCACAGTTAAATATATACCTAAGTTTACTTGGCATAGCTTCACATGTGTTGCGTATACTTATGTTTTCTGTTGTTACTTAGTTCATCTGGACGCCATACAACAACGAGTTGATAGGTGGCCTGTCCGATTATTGCTCGGCTGGCTGACTTATTTGGAGCTCTTTCGTCCTGCTAATGTGCCTCGATATTGTGGAGCATCATGTCACGAAGCGGGTACTTCGCCAGTTTGGTCGTCCGCAGCTTGTACCGAGACCGCCCACATGGCAGCCCACACATTACCAGCGGGATGATCGATCTAGGGTGGACGACACAAATGTGTAATGGCTGGAGGCGTAGGTCGATACTTGGGACCGGCGAGCTAACCTGATTCCACCTCCCCCCCTTCACCGAGCCGGCCGGATACTTTTCATGATTATATGCCCAATCTCATTCATTGAGCTGGCGATCGGTACGTTCCATACGTTTGGCGGCACGAGGCACTGGTATGTTATTTGGTATCCTTATATAACTGCAACCTAGCGATCTGTAATTTATATTTTACACGTTGTGCAGGCTATTGGCCTACATCTATTCTACCAGCTGGGACTGTAGATGCAGCAGCATGCCAGCGAGGGAGCGGCCAGTTTGCACGATTATGGCCGGCAGGTTGTACAACTGGCGGCCCGGACACTACGGCGAGCCCAAGAGGATCAGCGCTTAGCACACGACCCTGCTTATATGGCGCCAGAGCACTACCAGCGAGGTAGGGGTGTCCCACGAGGTAGGGGTTCCCCACGAGGTAGGGGTGCCCCACGAGAAAGGGGTACCCTACGGGGTCGTGGGGACGGTGAGGAGGTGGTCCCCAGTAAGGGAGCGTCGAGGCACATGTTGATGATGTTGATACTGATCTGCCAGGTGACCTCCATGATCCAGACGAGTGTCACAGCAGCATGCCTTCATTCAGCCTTCAGCTGCCTCTCACTCCAGGGACTTCGCAGGTGACCTCGTCAGGTCCATTGTTGATCACGGGAACGGGCATTACCAGAGAGGATTGGGGTGCGTACTTTCCAGACCCATCGACCACTGCTGAGGATAGGCCGACCCGAGATGTGGATAGTGGGCGCCGACTGAGTTATGGCTTATCATCGAGGGGTGCTGGGGATCATTCACAGGCGCAGGTATGTTTATATTACTATCAAATTTAAATTTATTTTTATCTCATTGATTCGTCATAAATAACTACATAATTTTCTTACTAAGGCTTCATCCCCGCCCGTCATAGAGGCCACTTTGTGCGATGCTGACCTGGCTATGACGGATACTTATATTCAGGAGTCCGACGAGACCATGGTAAGACAATTTAAAGTTTTGGTGACTTTACACGTACATTAGTAATATATATTTTCATATACTGAGCTAACTTATTCTTCTGTAGGTTACTGCTGCACCGACGACCCCTTCTACCGAGACTGCCAGCACTATTGACGATCATGATGCAGCGCATCCTGCGATAAAGAGGTGACGTGATGAGGATGATCCTAATAGCGTAGCTGGGCGGGATCGGATGTGCCTTAGGCCAGCGGCTGCATTGAAGCACACAAGCTGTGGGACACATTGATTTTCTTTTTTTTGTATTTTATGTAAATAATAACAACAATTTTTGTTGTTTACATTATATGCGCATTATGTTTATATTTCCCCGGGTCTTCTTTATTTTAATACTACAACACAAATACAAACATAGCAACTTAACATAATTTAAATTCAGTACAACTAATAAAAACACATGGCATGGAAAACATAAAGACAAAGTACTACATTCAACACATACATGTCATTGTTTAGTCACGACCGCCTAGTATTCTCTGCTCCAACCACTTAAATTTCTCTTCCAGCTTATTTTTTTTTTCTTTTTCCGCCTCTTTTAGTTTCTCCTTCAACTCCGCAATTTCTCGTTTATACATAATCTCATCATCCCACTATTTTTTGGTCAAATCATGATAATAATGCAAAGACTCTTTGTAGCATTCCTGCTTACAGGGTTCATCAAACCATACCTCAAAATTGCAAAAATTTTTATTGTTGCCTCTAAACCTGTTCACACACATCCAGTATCTGCACCCAACTTGACCATCATCCCAATAGTCCACCAACATACAACGTTCGCCACATTGGCACATAAATGCGTTCAGACATTTGTTAAAGCGAAAAAAACCCTTGCTTTTATGGAAAGTTTTGCTATTTATTATGGTTAAGCGCAGAAAATAACTAGAATGCGCTCGTTATTTATAGGCAAGGCAACACACATAACGTAGTATTTAACCGCACTATGCCCACACATAACGTAGTATTTAACCGCGCTATGCTTCGCGTGTTAAAGATTCTTTCGGATACAAAATAGCTTTTTCGCAGGCGGGCAGCTTTTCAGATCGACAAGACAACACACAAAATGTAGTATTTAACCGTGCTATATATGCTCACACATAACGTAGTATTTAACCGCACTATGCCCACACATAACGTAGTATTTAACCGCGCTATGCTTCGCGTGTTAAAGATTCTTTCGGATACAAAATAGCTTTTTCGCAGGCGGGCAGCTTTTCAGATCGACAAGACAACACACAAAATGTAGTATTTAACCGTGCTATATATGCTCACACATAACGTAGTATTTAACCGCACTATGCTTCACGTGTTAAAGATTCTTTCGGATACAAAAAAGCTTTTTCGCAGGCGGACAATTTTCAGATCGACAAGACAACACACATAATATAGTATTTAACCGCGCTATATATTCACATATTTATCAACATTTCCTCATCTGACAATGTAGTTTTCTAATAATTTTAGAGTGAAATTCGAAAGTGAACATAAAAATTTTCCGTTTTTTAATCCAAAACTATTTTTGATTACATAAATGGGAGGGAGAAATTCATTAATTTACTCAACTGAAAAATGTTAAATATCAATAAGATTTAACAGCAATGAAAACATAATTTTATTTGATACATCTTGCAACATAAACAAATACATACACTTATTACAACCACATTACGAAAACAAAACACTACGGGTATCCTTGATAGTTAGACACATTAGATGAACTTCCACTAGGAACTAGATTACCATGCCACCCAAACCAGCTGAAGGACATTTACGACAGTCGTGTTCTGTTTGCGAGCATATGCCATATTTACATGCATAAACGGTATCACCAATATACATTTGGTTCCGTATACGCGTTCTTTTTTGCACTTGTAGCTTACGCAAATAGTCCTTGTTACACACCATTTTAAATGGTTCCGACGACCAATTATGCTCAGCACCCACTGACTACAACTGCCCACTATATGTGTTTAAGTATGCAGCAACATTGTATTGCCTATCAACATAGTTGGTTGGCCCTAAACCTATATGTTGAAAGCACTTGATGGCATATGAGCACGACATGTGGTAGATGGACCATTTCCCATAAGAACACAACATGTTGGCTTCATTTATGGTGTGTACATTATTCCCCCGGTGTTGATGGATAGCGGTGCGAACTTCAAAAACACCCCGGTCATGATCATACTATAAAAATGAATGCCAATGTGCTCGCTTTCTGTATTTCTCAAATATTTTCAT